TATTGAGTGAACCTGCTTGAACAAAGGCATAGAGCAGGCCGCATGAAATTATCATATTGATAGGAGTTTTCAAACAGCTTCCTAATGTGTAAAGTTTAGTCATATAATTCTCAAAGAGATATTAAACACTGTAAGACATACTTCGATGGCATTGAATTACGCTGTTCACAGAAGATATTGCACATCCCGATGAGGTGTTTGATGAAAAACAGCAGGACCTCTCAACTTAACTACAAGCAGGTGATTTTAATCAGCGCTCAGCTTTTTGTTTAAAGTGAACTCGGTGTATAGACCTAGGTACATGTAGTTCAGTCAGACAACTCACGTGTTCTTAATATGTTTATTATAGCAGCATAGAGTTTGGCGTCTAGGCTCGGGCCTCATCACTCCACAGGTTTACAAAGAACATTAAGTGATGATTAGATAACTATCCCCCGAGCCTACAGGTGGAAGCTGGTGGAAGCTGGGGTGGTGGTGGGGCAGGCAAGCAGCAGCAACATGAAACACAGCAGCAAGTGAACACATCAGTGGCAGCAGCAGCATAGCGAGGCAGAGGCAGGAAGACCTGGCAGCTTAAAAAGAGCGGCATGTTTAGGAGAATGTGTTTGGTTGGTTGTAAGAGGGACGAGGTGCATCACATGTTAATGCATCATTGGTGCTCGAGTTGACTGCCTGAACTAGCTCGCAGGCTTCACCCCATTTCAGTGCAGAGGATGGATTTAGCTGAATTCCCCATACACAGGACAGATGCTCTGCTACCACGCCTCATGATTCCTCATGATAAGAGCTGTTAATCATTACATTTTAGGATAAAGACTTGGTTTAAGGTTAGGTAAGGGTAAGTCTCAAGGAAGCTAATGTAAGTCAATATAATGTCCTCTGAAGCGATATACCCTCCTGCAATTTCATGTTTTTTTGTCACTTTGTCACAAAACAAATATACTGCTACTTTTTTACCATGGTGTACATATCCGCTTTATCTTTAGTTTTCTACCTATTGTTTTATTTATAATGCGTGCATACTTTGCCATTTTTTTCTTTATTTGTACTATCTGCTATTGTAATCACGTAAATGTCCCTGTTGCCGGACAAATAAAGGATTTCTGATTCTGATTTCTTATTCTTTCTGGGATCATCTTGTACAGTAGATGCTCTGTATGTAATTCCTTTTTGTCCAAGTTCATTCCGAGAAATCAATCATTTTCTAAGAATGTAAAGATTTTCTTTGCTTTTCACCAAATGGTTTTCAATCACACAAGAAAAAAAGGCATATTTTGTACTAGCCAAATTTAATTTAATTCGCACTTAAGAGGGAGAAGAAATTGTAGTTTCTCTGACTTATCTGCCCCATTAGGATCAAAACTGCTCAGGAGATGAAGAGTCATACGTTTTAGAGATAGGGCAACAAAAGTCTGTAGTGCCACCATCAGGCCAGTGTTGATTACATGTAACCCAATCTGTGTGCGTTACCAGAATGTATAACTTACATTTTGTCCGGTATTTCTTTCAACAAACAGTCTGTATTTCTTATGTTTTGTTCAAAATCTAAACAAAGTGCATATGTAAAGATTTAGTTTGAAAAAAGTTTGTGCATTTGTACCTAAATATTTTGCTGATTCGTAAATATCAAAATACATATTGTGAGAGTGATGGGTGGATTGGTATTGATAATATCAGATAATCCCATGTATTATTCTCTTGTATTCTTCTCATATATATTGTAAAATAGAAATGTAAGAGAAGGTTGCTGCACGATGAAGCCCGGTGTGTCATCCAAACAATATAGCTGATAATAATGTAATTTGAGATTTGAGATTCATTTGAATGACAAATAGTAAATCTCGGAGGAAACTTTCGTCCCAAGAGCCTTAGGGAGAAACCAAATCCCTAACAACATGTAGAAAACAAACAAAGCGCTCTGTGTTCATTCATTCATCGCTTCTGCACATTTCTGAATGTATCAGGATTTCTATATTGTTGTTGTTGCACCAACCCTGGGAGCTGTAACATTTAAGATAATTGGTCATTTTCATGAATCACAATGCAAGTGTCTTGAAAGATGATGAGTTTCCTATAACAGGGAGGGAACAGCTGAAACGTTCCTGCCGTTGTGTCAGGAGCCTCCTTTATTGCAGACCACCTAACTGTGACTGAGTTTGCAGCGAGGACAGAAGCCCATATCTCTACAATTCTATCTCCAACAATGAACATTTGCACAATGTGTAAACAAGCCTCATTTTAAATGTTAGGCTGTATGCATTATTGCCTGCTGCTATGTTGTAGCTGTTTCCTTTGTGTTCCTGCTGTGGTGTTGTGCTCGGCTGAGGATTATAAATGGCCATTGCTTGGCTGCTTTGGCCCATTAGGAGGTCTCAGTGTGACTGCTATTTGTATAGCAAGCTGAGCTTAAGGTCTTTATCATTAACTTGAAGACAACCTCATGTCCCTGTCGAGGGGGTTTGCTATTTATTTGGCTGCTATGTCTTCAGTCTAACTCCTCCGTGCTCCTGTCAACAGAGTAAACAAAGCTTGGTTAGGATGCTGAAACTCTACCGCCCAGTGACAGTATATTTTTTCAGCACACAGCTTGATAACTCCAGGCTGTCACAACATCTGAAGCCCCTTTGAATGCTTCACTGTTTGTTTTTGTTTATAGTCTCCAGATTCCTGATTTGTTTGTCCTCTGCAGGTTAATCTGCACCATTTAGGGTTTGGTTGACATGGTTAAAACTTTGTATATGGTGTGAATTTATGATGATTTCTTTTTTTACACAGGTACTTTTATTGAATCACAACAAAATACAGACTAGATATTGTGTTACCTAATTTTTAGACTGGCATGTGGATTAGGGCTGTGCAATTAATCGTATTTTAATCGCAATTACGATTTTGGCCTGCCACAATTACGAAAAAAACCTAATCGAAAAAAACGATTATTTTGCTTTGCTAGGTTGTGACAGAGTGCACCGCAACATATTTGATCTAATTTATTTTAATCTAATTTATTTGTATTTATCATATTTATATATGTTTAGTAGCTCGTTGAAGTGTGCTCCAAAATATTTGTTGGATAAATAATAAATACCAATAAACAAGATCAACAAATATTTTGGAGCACACTTCAACGAGCTACTAAACATATATAAATATGATAAATACAGCTGTTCATAGATACATACAGCTGTTCATAGATACATACAGCTGTTCATAGATACATACAGCTGTTCATAGATAAATACAGCTGTTCATAGATAAATACAACTGTTCATAGATAAATACAGCTGTTCATAGCATGCATTTCTCATGAGGAAAAAAGTAAATCACGTCTATATTCATATACATGTCCTACAGAAAGAATGAGTCCTTCCAAATCAACACACACATACCCACACACACGCACGCACGCACGCACGCACGCACGCACGCACGCACGCACGCACGCACAGACAGACAGACAGACNGTTTATTGGTATTTATTATTTATCATTTATTTTTGTATTATACGTTCAGGGTAATCAACAGTTAAAAAGATACTGTTCAAATTATTATTTGTTTTGAAGTTCAATAAATAGATGTTTTCAAAGTCAATGAATAATCGTATTTAATAATCTTGATATCAATTATTGACCAAAACAATCGTGATTATGATTGTTGCCATAATCGAGCAGCCCTAATGTGGATTGATAGTTGCTATGTGCATATTTATTTATAGTGTCATGCAAATAGAACAACACCCAAACCGTCAGTCACAAAGACCTCTGTGATTTTCTGTAATTTTCGTTATTATACAGAAAATTATAGAAAAAGGCATAATAGAAAGACAAAGACTTGCTGTGAAGCATCATTTTCACTTGGCCAACCTTAGTCAATAACTAGTTACTAATGTCATGAAATCGACAGGACACAGAGCTGCAGGTGAATATTGCTCCGTTTAGTTTTAATACTGGGACAACTACAAAATAATTATTCATAGTGATGGGAAAGAGTGAAAGCCAGTGTTAGTTCGACAAAAATCTAGGAAGAACAAAATATACAGACCACACATGACTCTTTTAAAGTAAAGTTAATTTATTCAAACAAACAAAACTAAGTGAGTCAGTGCACCATGAGTGTATTGTGTGAATATTTAAAAGTGTCAAACAAGAAAGACTAAAAAAGAAACACAGGTGTCAGCCATCTTCAAGAAAGACTGAAAAGCAACACAGGTGTCAGCCATCTTCAAGAAAGACTGAAAAGCAACACAGATGTCAGCCATCTTCAAGAAAGACTGAAAAGCCACAGAGGTGTCAGCCATCTTCAAGAAAGACTGAAAAGCCACAGAGGTGTCAGCCATCTTCAAAATAAACTGAAAAGCAACACAGGAGTCAGCCATCTTTCCTGATTTGGGTGAGTGGCTCATTTGATAATAGCCCTAGTTAAATTCCTCAAGACCAATATTCACTCACTATAAAAACATTACCATAGCAAATGAAAATGTTGGCATTCAACGTTGTATGTTTATATATGATTTGATTCCTTTAATTTGATTTGATCTTGTATTGGACTTTTTACTTTAGATCATTATGATTATATGAAATCATTGCACCTGTTAATATATATATATTATTTTATTTATAAGTATTTTTTATTTCATTCTCAAGTAAAATAACTGTAACCAAATCCAATTTCCCCCTGATGCTGATTCCAAGACTTGTATGGAACATCAGTAGTCTAAATTGAAGCTTATGTATCTGGTCTTACATTATATGTTATGCAAAACATTATAGGGACAACATTTTGCCCTCATTGCCACTGTCCCTCTTTAAGGGCTTTTCTCCTTCGGTTGCATCTTCTTCCTGCATCAGTACAGCCAGCAGGCATCTATCCTGAACACATAATACTGTAGAATCTACAGTATTATGTGTTCAGGAGTAGCCAATCAGAGGCCAGTGCGAGCCGGACTCTGACGTGGCCCCGCCCCCTCCAGCCCCTCGCTCCATCGTGTACTTCCTCGTTACTACGGCGACAGTTGAGCGTCGTCACCGGTTGGCGGAGCCGCAAAGTCATCACGGTGATATCGGGAATTCCTCTCCGTGTAGGGCTCCGCGTGTGTGACGGAGAACCGGAGCCTCACTCTCTGCAGGGAGGAAGCAGCACGCACCGAATACACGTGAGGCGTCAACCGTGTACATCTACCATGTTTCCTGCCCGTGTTTTCATCTGAGCCCGGCTCCGCCGCAGGAGGAGGAGAAAGACATGTATCTGTGTGAGAGTGGGAAAGTAGTTGAGGTTTGATGAGAACAAACTTAGAAAAGAGACAACATGGTCAACTGCATCTTCATCTGCATTTCCTGCTCATAAACATCAGATCTGAGATCTATACTGCTACTAAGGTGACCCCAGCAAGGCCGACTTGAATGTAAGTGTGTTGTGAATTAAAAACTTAAGCTGTAACCCTGACACTACTGGACTGCAACTGCAACTCATTTGCTGCTGCTAGTAATTAAAGTAAGTGGTGCCGTGATTAAGAGATGAACTGATAGAGATATTGGTTAAGTAAACTAACCAGGAAATTAGGCAATATTTCTTGTTGAAAAATGGGAAAGAAGGTACTTGAAGTGATGACCAAGTAGCCCTTTGATTTATAAAACTATCTTTAACACAGGAATGTTGGGTAAAACAACAATACATGTTTTTGGTCAATGACCTTTCAAAACTGTTGTGCCTACAGAAGCAGTATTGATTATCTCTTATCATGGCCTTTATGTTTTGGAAACACTGATGGTCAAACAAAAGACTTAGTTTCTGTGTAACTATACACCTTTACTGTACTTATTAACTTTATCTCACGTGTTAGTCCTGTATACATTTTTAGATAAGCTTTTTTCTTTGTACTCGTTATCTGTGTTTTTCCTGATGAAAGTGACCTTAACATATTCAGAAAACTATGTGATGCTGAAACACCGTATTCGAAAAACACATTACTTGAACAGGGTTTGTCTTAAGGTGTGTATTTATTACAAGAATATATACATTTTGTCGGGAGAAAAACATTGTATGCAAACAAGAATCACCAAAAAGGTGTTGTTACTTTTTAAAATGATAACTCCGGTGATACTCCCTTAACAAATCCCATATAAAACTAAACCCACAAACAGTTTGTATGTCCATACTGGCAACACTGGGGCCTGTAGTAGTATGTTTACTGACTTTTTGTTGTGCAAGCGAAACCTGTCCAGCAAATTTTTTGACCATAAAAAAGATAGGTTGTTTATGCCTGAACAAAGCTCTGAAATCTTCACAGCCTTAGGACAAAATTCACATGATATAGGTATCAAGTTGTGCAGAATAAAAAAAACAAATGTTCATGCTTCTTCTCAACCCCAGCTATTAGTTCCCATCACGCTTGGTTATACACTGACTTTGTTGCTGTATATTTATGAGCCGAACTGATTGTATCCATTTGTATTACCGTATATGAATTTGTTTCTGCTCCTACTTTCTGCTCTCACTATTGACTCTCGTCATAAACCACATTTTCTGGACAGCTATATGCAACCCACTCAGTGTCCAACCTGGTCACGAGGCTCTGCGATAGAGGGGATCAGTGACAGTCTAGGGACACCCTGGCAGCTCAGATGTCTGCTCCCGAGCTACCGGGGCTGCTGGCAGGTCGTCTTTAAATAGATAAGCACTTTAGTTGTATGCTAGAAAGGGTCCCTGACCTCTGAGCAAGGGGATTTCTCAAGCCTATGTGCGTCTCAAAGAGTGATTCAGCAAAACACTAAGCGCTCTCTGGGTTAAATGAGGATGGGACAGGCCGATTACATTGTTTCTTCTGTCTTTCCCAGCTGAGAATCAACTAAAATGTGGTTGTAAATCAAATAAGTGTTCTTCATGAACAAAAAAATAAGCATCTCAGAAAAAAACTGTATGACGTTGAAGTAATTTTTGAATTTTTGAAGTAAAACTAGCAACGATTAGTGAGTTTGCTTGTTTTATATTGAAGTGCAGATTATATCACTTTGAGCCCGTTTGAAGTGGTGACAAAAAAATTCACTATTACTGACCGTTTCTAGCCCAAACTAATAACCGAGGATAATCTTCAGATTAATCAATAGTGAAACTAATTTCAAGCTGACGCCTAATAATCAATTATGTCTGATCAGATCTCTGAAGTATTAAAATAAGAGCTCTTTCAGTAACAGTATTGATACCAATGGGTAGAATCATTTTTACGTGCTGTTGTCACTTGTCTAGAATGTTTTTGTGATAGTTTTGCTTTTCCCTCCCCAGAGATTTTGCCATGTTTTCTGATGCTCTGGACGCTGCTGGGCGGGTGGAGGGCCTGCCACTGTCCTCCCCACCGCCACTACCAGAGCTGGCAGAGGAGGAAGCAGAGGCCTCAGCGGAGAGGGGGCCGAAGAGACGAGGCCGTTACAAGCAGAGTCTGCAGCTTTTAAAGCCCTTCAGGATAACACACAGGTAAACACATTTTTATTTTATTTCTTCGTGTTGCGACTCTGACAGAGAGCCAGATAAAGGCCAACCCAGACAGTTTGAGGCCGGAACATTAACAGGCAGATACCCATTTAAAGACACACTGTCACACACAGTCACAAAAGTTCACATTTGTTGTGTTTGCTGCTTGATGCACTGACTGTGAGGGAGTTGCAGAAGGCCATGATAAGAGATGGGAACTTATCCCCCGCCGGCAGACACATTCATGTTTGAACATTTGTCAACTGATAAACTGCGCTCTGAATTTATTTTTTCGCTGCTCTTTTAAATTTCTGTGAAGACTGTGCAAATGACTGTTCAAACACTGCAGGCATGATTCACCTTTCATTGACTCTGGCAGGCAAAGGCGCCTCTTCTTTCCCAGCGGCCTACGCGGGCCTGCTACCCCAACATAGCACCTCTCTGAATACCTCCCTTTTAGACTTCTCACCCTTTTCAACGTCTTCTCCGCTATTCCAGGCACCAGCACCCAGTCGATAACGCCGGCCTCTTTTCATTTATGACTCTGCACTGGCTCTCCCCACTGGCACTAAAGGCGTTCAGGGCGTCCAGCCTGTCTATAGACGATGTGTGGGGACTGTCTTGCCACGAAGCCTCTGAGATCAACTGCCAAAGGTGAGGTAACTGTGGCCCTTCTGAGGTTTGCCTCATGAAAGTAGCTTGCAATGTTCAAAAAGACTCTATTTGATGCTGCAACACAGTATTGAGATAAGACATTACTCAAATTAGTTTCCATTATTAGTTATTTGCCACATTTCTTATCCAAGCGGACACATACAAGACCATTTTTGTTCACTCCAATGTGAATTTTGTGCATTGTGTCCTCTTTTAAAGGATAAGACTTAAACTCTTGACACATACTGATACCACCACAATGAGATGAATCTTGACTAACAAGTTTAGCATGTTTATCTGGACCCTGTGCCAAAGATTTCAATCTTTGTACCAAACATTTGTATTTGCTCCCCTCACTGGGTGTGTCCCTTGGTTACCTTGAACATGGGAAGGTACATAGACAATTCCATGTGCAGTGTACCGCTGGCTTAAATACTAACTAGCGCACCAACATGGAAAACAAAAAACTTTGATAAGAATATATGCACTTGTTAATCAAGTTTGAGTTATGTTTGCTAAAAAATAAATGTGCCCAGCTATTCTTTTAAAAAAATGTAGTAATTGTGACACATTTTCCCAGTTTTATGTCCAGTAGTTGTGAGTCTAAACGTGCTACTTACAGGCTGTGGAAGATGAAAAGACAATACAGTAAAGACAGTACAGTAAATACAGTACAGTATACAGTACAGTAAGACAGTATTAGCTTCTACTATAGGATGTTGCGGGATGCCCAACTAATTTGCAAATAAACAAATGACTCATGAACAGTAGTGAACCAAGGCCTTGTGGGATTGCTGCCTTCTTTGCATGGTAATCCATCATTTGTGGAAATGTCATATTTGCTGAAGTGGGAGATTTTATGGGCTCGCTAGTTTTCCTTTTAACATAAAGTCAAAATGGTGCTAAAATCCTGTAAAAAAAGTACCCATGTTTTGTAATGTAGACACGTTATGATACAAAGAGTGATCCATTCAAGGTGAACAGTCATGTTTTTTTTGTTTCAAGCACTCAGTGGAGGTTGTTATATCAGGCAGTTTTCAGGTAAACTGATCTATATCACACTGCTCTCACACTGCGATTATTTTTCGAAAAAATATTGAGAAACCTTCTTAGCTTTCCCTACTCTACACGTGAGCAAGTTCAAACTCGGTACAGATCAGGTGATTCCCTGCCATGTAAACAACCTTCTGGATTTTGTACGGCTCTAAATCGGTGCAGTGAGACTTAATTGATGAACATCCAGTCTTTCTTTACAAACACAGGATTGTGCTGGGATGGGTGGCTGCTAGGAATAGCTGGGATTAGAGATTACAGTGAGAGTTAGTGCCTGACTTTGGTGGTTATGTCATTATCTCCTGTACCTGTCATGCACTGTCACTTTCATTAGCTGTCATTGACTGGAGCCAGGCTGGAGCACACAATGAAATGAAAAATCCAGATTTTCCTGCCAAACCGCAGCCTGAGAAATGCCCTGTAGTAATGCATTCATTCTATGAATGAACAATAAAGACTCACTATAATCTCATTAGGGGGCATTTAGGGTTTACGACTCACAGAAAATAAAACAAATGTTTTTTCCATCACTTACATGCTGTCGAGTCATGGCGCCGTGACTTGGCGATAAAGAGCACGAGGAAGTTCACTCTTGTGTCTGGTGATGACTGTGTGGGTTGTAAATGACCGGTTCCTTTAAAAGGCTCTGGCTCAGGGCCTGGAGGTTTAGTGCTGCCGCTGCTGCTTTGTGTATGCTAAAGAGCACATGAAAGGGAAGCAGCACAGGAGCACAAAGCTATCACATTGGCACGGGTGGGCGATGGTGCGCTGCAGAGCCGCTGGAGATGGGAGGTCTTTATTTGTGTTAACATAGCAAGAACAGTTATGCAACCCCGATGCAAAGCGGAGATGATGATGAGAGAGGGAATGGGAAAAGAACCCTGGGAGAGTTGACACTTGTTGGTGCTCAGTGAGGTGCGAACCTTGAACGCAATGTCCTGGCCAACACACTTGAGAAACATCAGCCTCGCCTGCCATCTGGCAAACTGAGACGATGGCTGTTGGAACATGTCAGCCATCTTTAAAAGCAAATCGCTCCTTTTTTGGATCCCACACTGACGCGCTGATGCGCTCGTTTCCATTCATGTGTGTGACCGTGCACACAATCAGAGGTGGAAGAAGTACTTATACTTAGATTATTTACTTGAGTAAAGGTAGTAACACTACAGTGGGTTACAAGTACATTCAAAGTATACTTTAAGTACCAAATGTAAAAGTAGTCTTTATGCAGAATGACCCATTTAAGCACCATACATTAAACTATTGTATAATAATTAATGATGCAATAACGTGTAGGTTTTATTTTATAGTGGGGTTGGTTGGTTTACTTTTATATAAGACTGGGTTGCATAACATTAATAATAAATGAAAATTCATTATTAGATGTATATTTTGTATTAAAAATCGAAATCTGAACAATAGCTAGTAACTAAATACATAAAATAAATGTATTGGAGTTTAAATATTTGCCGACAAAAGGTAATCGCTTAAAAGTATAAAGTAGCATAATGTATAAGTAGAAGATCCTCAACTTTTTTTATTTACTTGGTTACATTCCACCAGTGGTTGGTATTGGTTTTTTCTTTGCTTAAAAAAAACAACTATCAATCACATTGGATATAAAATATTGACCATTTGATACTGTACAGCTGCTCTTTAATACATTGTTCCTTGCTTTGTCCATCGGATTTAGCAACACAAACCACTCACTTAAAAGTCTCATTACGGTGTCTCAAGCTGTGCTCTGTGCAGCTATTAATTTTAATTTCTTAGATTCAACGCCATTTGACTTCAAGTAGTAATTATCAGGCTGTGTGAGAGTCTAGTTGGTTTAATGTTCAGTCTATCTCTGATACGTTTTTAATAAAGTCATTAGGGCGTAAATTACTTTCTGCAGCTGCTCTGCTGCTGCTTTATAGCTTGCTTCATTAGCAATGATGCATTTGCCCAACATAATGTTTTACCCTCTTCAAGGGGCATTACACGCCAATCAAAGTACATAAGCACATCTTCGGTAACATGTTTGGTAATACCTTTCTCAGTCTAATTATGATCATCATTCAAGATTGTATATTGTAGGTCACCTTTACATTATTACCAACTGAATTTTTCCTTTTGTAATGTTCAAGTGCCATAATGCCTGCAGAACTGCTTATATCTCCCATTGTACTTTCAATAACAAGACATCTTAGTGATGTTTGGTTGAGCTGTGGGTCAATAAATAATTTTGAGCTCCTGGTTTTTTGTTTCCAGGCTTGAATCGTTGTGGCATGACGAGCTGAAGAGTCGAGGGCGCGAGGGTGCATCTCTGACAAGAGTCTTCTGGAGGTTCTGCCAAACCCGCGTATTGGTGGCCATCTTTTCCCTCCTCCTCACAATGGTGGCAGGCTTCATTGGGCCTGTGAGTATTGTCCAAATCCTGCTTTCCCTTTTTATAATCTGCTGATTCAACTAATAGGCCTTTCAGCATGTTCGCTGTCTTGGAATCCCAAGTTGGGGTGTATTTTCTGAAAATCACTTTATCCCGTTTCACGCTGGTGTGGAAATTGAAATGAAAACATACTGAGAGATTACAAAGCTATTGAAACCCATATTAATGCCTTAGATTAGCTGGTTTGTTCCCCGTCACGCTTTGGTGCCACACTTTGGGGTTTAGATTTCCCTCCATGGACGAGCATGAGACCACAGAGAGATTTAAAGATATTTATAAAAATCAGAAATGTCAAAAGTCACCTTAAACTAAAGGCTTATTATGTCTGGAATTCCCAGGTTATAATTTTTCACTATGATTTCGCTAAGCTGTTTATTTTGATGTCAGGTTATGCGAACACTATGTGCTTGCTATTTCCCGCAACTAATAGCATTAACTGGATTTAGTTCTCACACAATGACACGTGCCTCACATTCCTGTGTGATTTATTTAGTACATAGCTCACAAAATGTGTTGTAAAATATTCTTCCTGCAGTTTATAAATGTAAAGTCTGGGTTTATGTATTTGACACATCCAACAATGTTGTTGCTTTTCTTCTGTCATTCCACTCAGGCCTTTTTATTGACAGCCTATCTCTTGAACCCCTGTTGTCTATGCTTATGTTACTTATATGTTCACTCCTCGGACACTGGATTGCAACCAAGTGACGGTATAGATGTGACATCGATTACCGTTTACTGTTATTTCGGAACTTTTGAACTTTGTCTTGTCCCGTAGACTCGAGATTTTTTAGTTCATTTGTTCCTGTTCCTCTCTCTCTTCTTGTTCCTGTGTTATCCTTCTCCCATGTTATCCCTTTTCACCGGTATCTATTCTATTCTTTCCCGTCAACTTTTTTTTATTACTCTTC